ATATCTTCTTCGGTATAGTTTACGTTGTAATACATTATATCTTCTTCGGTATAGTTTACGTTGTAATACATTATATCTTCTTCAGTATAGTTTACGTTGTAATACATTCTACCTTCTTCAGTATAGTTTACGTTGTAATACATTCTATCTTCTTCAGTATAGTTTACGTTGTAATACATTCTATCTTCTTCAGTATAGTTTACGTTGTAATACATTCTACCGTTCTTCAGTATAGTTTACGTTGTATTACATTCTACCTTCTTCAGTATAGTTTACGTTGTAATACATTCTACCTTCTTCGGCATAGTTTACGTTGTAATATATTCTACCTTCTTCAGTATAGTTTACGTTGTAATACATTCTACTATCTTCTTCGGTATAGTTTACGTTGTAATACATTCTATCTTCTTCAGTATAGTTTACGTTGTAATACATTCTACTATCTTCAGTATAGTTGTCGTTGTAATACATTCTATCTTCTTCAGTATAGTTGTCGTTGTAATACATTCTATTTTGTTTGCTATGTTACGTAGTAATACCCTCTATTTGATTTGGTATGTTACATAGTAATACCCTCTATTTTGTTTGCTATGTTACGTAGTAATACCCTCTATTTTGTTTGCTATGTTACGTAGTAATACCCTCTATTTTGTTTGCTATGTTACGTAATTATACCCTCTATTTGATTTGCTATGTTACATAGTAATACCCTCTATTTGATTTGGTATGTTACACTGTTAAATGTCAGTAGAGAAAGTACATTGTTGTTACACTGTTAAATGTCAGTAGAAATACTTCAGTGTAACAACAACATTTCTACTGACATTTAACAGTGTAACAACAACGTGCTTTCTCTACTGACATTTAACAGCGTAACAACAACGTGCTTTCTTTATATTATCAATACCTTCTGAATAAAACAACCTACATACATAAATCAGAACTACAAAGTAAACGTGTAATACATATAGCTAATTTTATATACCGCCCAACCTAGGAGAGTGTAGTGTCATAGAAACAAAAGCACGAGAGGTTTAATTTAACACTACTCTCGATCGTAAAATCAATTAATAAGAGAAGCAAAAAGTTGAAATATTTTATTTCGCAGACTTAAGTTGGGCAAAATGTATCTCTTCTCGAGACGTATAATAAAAACTAGTCAACGTTATCGCAGGAACTGAACACTGAGTCTTGGTAATCTTTCTAAACTAACTTTTGTTCTGACTAGAAACTGAGTGTGCATAAGACTGAAAATATCACATTTTTGCTCTAATCAGATACTGGTTGTGTCTAAGTGTGCACGAGGGATTAAGTCGTAGTAAACATGCCTGAAAAAAACATCTTGTTTTTTGTTGTTGTTCTGATCAGAAACTGAGCGTGCCTGAGGGAATGAGTCCTAGTAAACCTTCAGAACGGGGATGGATCATCTCGCCTGCAGGGTTGTCAAGGCCTATTGCTGCATGGCAGGTTTTTGCTGCATTCATCGCCGCTTTACTTATCTTTATCCTGCTCTTTCTGGAAATTCAGATTTGCGAGTAAGTAAATATTAATAATTATTAATAATTACACGTAGAGAGACTACTAGTAAGTCTCTCTTATGACTCAGATATTCTCTGTCTTCAAGAGAAACACGTACAGAAACTATTTGTTGTAAGTCTCTCTCATGACTCCAGTTTTCTGTTTTTAACCTCCACATGCTGATTAACAAACTGGTTTGAATTTTAAAGTTTTATCATTTTATTTCATTCGACTATTAGGTTAAGGTCACTTTTCTGTGTCTCTTCCTGTTTGAAAGTCGTATACAAATTTAACTACAGAATGTGTTCGTAGGCTAATCATCAACAAGAAAGAAAGGAAGTTAAAAAAAGGGTCCGGGTTCCACCTGGACCTGATGTTGATCTGTGGTATGGAGCTGGGATGCGCGCTGTTAGGAGGACCATGGATCTGTGCGGCTACTGTCCGCTCCGTGTCTCATGTCGCCAGCCTAACGGTGATGAGTAGGACACACGCCCCCGGTGAAACACCTCACGTTATAGAGCTAAAAGAACAGCGTTTCACAAACCTTCTGGTGTCCATTCTTATTGGTAAGTGTCAACTGTCTTTTTTGTTTGTTTGTTTGTAATTAAGCACAAAGCTACACAATGGGTTATCTGGGCTCTGTCCGCCACGGGTATCGAAACCCGGATTCTAGCGTTGTAAGTCCGCAGACATACCGATTTGCCACTGGGGGGGGGGGGGGCGTCTCAACTGTTTCATCCACAGTTGTTCGTTACAACAGGGCAAGCGACTGATCTGTACCGAGGAAAAAAAATTTCGAATTTAGTACTGCGATGCTACATACAAAATTATCACATATAACTTATTTAGTTGCTTTCGTTCAGAATACTTATGATTCTCACCACAAGGGGCGGTCAATAATATTGTATAAAGTGAAAATATAATTAATAGAAAGAATAAATTATTGCAGTACATTTAATTAATTAACATGAGTTCTTCTTGAGTTATAATTATAAAAATGTTAAATAAATTAGTAAAGATTCTTTATAAGTGGCATTAATACTCAGTACAAAAAATGAATATAAGGCTTAGGTCTAAGCCTCGTCTTAATACGATATTGTATTACAAAATGTTGCATCTTTAATCATCTAAGAGCGAAAGTTGTAGGTTGTTCACTCTGCAGTTGATGACCTGATTTCCTAGGTTATTTCGTCTTTCGTACGGATTAACTCGTACTTAATCTTACTTCACTTAGGCCGTCTTTAGCTTTCTAACGAACAATTGTATTTATAGTTTAGAACTACCTGAACTAATGGCTCTTCTATGAAAAGATCTAAAAGGAATGCCTTTTTTCAGAAGTTTCTATTATGATGTTTTTTTTCTATTATAAGGTCGCCCTCTGGCGGAGTGCCGCACAACAATCGTCCTAACTATAAGGTCTAATCAGAATATTTTTTTTGCTCAGGGCTTTCTGTTCTGATGGCTCCTCTATTACGGAAAGTTCCAGTGGCTGTTTTATTTGGCGTGTTCCTCTACATGGGAGTCTCTTCTGTGAGTGGAATACAACTGTTTGAAAGAATTCAACTTCTATTTATGCCTGTAAAACACCATCCAGATGCCCCTTATGTCCACAGAGTAAGTACATCTAGTTGTTTCCCATATCCACAGATTAAGTACTTTTAGATGTTCTCTATCATCAAAGGGAGAACTTCCAATGTCCCTTATGTCCACAGAGTAAGTAAATCTAGTTGTTTCCTACGTCCACAGATTAAGTACTTTTAGATGTCCCCCATGTCATCAAAGGGAGAACTTCCAATGTCCACAGAGTAAGTACATCTAGTTGTTTCCCATGTCCACAGATTAAGTACTTTTAGATGTCTCCCTGCCATCAAAGGGAGAACTTCCAATGTTAATCTGTGGACGTAGGAAACAACTAGATGTACTTACTCTGTGGACATAAGGGAAAACTAGATGTACTTACTCTGTGGACATAAGGGACATTGGAAGTTCTCCCTTTGATGTCAGGGAGACATCTAAAAGTATTTAATCTGTGGACGTAGGAAACAACTAGATGTACTTACTCTGTGGACATAAGGGACATCTGGAAGTTCTCCCTTTGATGATAGGGGACATCTAAAAGTAGTCAGGGAGACATCTAAAAGTGCTTAATCTGTGGACATAGGAAACAACTAGATGTACTTACTCTGTGGACATAAGGGACATTGGAAGTTCTCCCTTTGATGGCAGGGAGACATCTAAAAGTACTTAATCTGTGGACGTAGGAAACAACTAGATGTACTTACTCTGTGGACATAAGGGACATTGGAAGTTCTCCCTTTGATGGCAGGGAGACATCTAAAAGTACTTAATCTGTGGACGTAGGAAACCAACTAGATGTACTTACTCTGTGGACATAAGGGACATTGGAAGTTCTCCCTTTGATGTAGCCTTAGGGAACAACCGGAGAAACTTACCCCTTGGACATAGGGACACAATTGAGGACATCTCAAGTATTTATTCTGTATATATATGTATATATATATATATAATATATTTCGAAGTATTTACTCAGTGGAGTAAACATAGGAAAAGATTAAGTACTTCCTAATGTCCCTCATGTCATCAAAGGAAGAACTTCCAGAAGTCCTCCATGTTCATCGAGTAAATATTTCTAAATGTTCCCCGTGTTCAGAAAATAAAGACTCCAATTTTCCCCTATTTACACAGGATAAATACTTCCATGTGTGTGTCCCCTAAGTTCACCGGTGTGTGTCCCCTAAGTTCACCGAGTATGTACTTTGAAATGTATTAAGATATTACTATGAATAAATGGTATAGAGTTTTAATATCTACTTATTCGTCTCTGGTGTAATATTTTATCCAACAACGTATCTCATTTGAATGTTCAAATACTAAGTAATTATGGTTAATTAAGCTAATAACGTGTAGAATTGTTCTGAAATAGGTAGTGAAAATACCTAAACATTAGACTTACTGTCTACTTGTCCTGTAAGAGGCACAAGGATTAGTTTATAAAAACTGCTTTGGCTAGTTTCTCTTCAAAACGAAATATAAGAGAGAAGTAACAAGAAAGTAGCCAAAATAAAATATTTAGAAGTATGTTATCAGTCCATAGGTTCCAAAATTACTCATAAAATGATTAAAAGCACCTGAAAAAGAATGCCTCGTCCTACCAAATGAACGCCGTGTGTTCGTGATACAGTCGCCTGCTTATCTTGAATTACTTTACAGATCGATTATAAATGATTTATTGGTAATTTGGTTTATTTTATATGACTAGGTTCGAACCTGGAAGATGCACACGTTCACCATCATCCAGATAGCCTGCCTGGCTGTTCTATGGATTGTGAAGTCTACAGATGCGGCTCTTGCCTTCCCGTTTGTTTTACTAATGATGATACCCGTCCGTTTCCAGCTCAAGTGTTGTTTCTCAGAGAAGGAATTAAAGGCTGTAAGTGACTAACAATACATTCAGAGAAAAAAAAATTAAATGTCTAGTCTACCGGAAAATATTCATAAGACACCTGCCAACACGAATTGTGAATGTTAAAAAAACAACAATATTAAAATCAAAAATTAAAAATTAAAATTAAATATTAAAATTCAGTAGGGGGGGGGGGCTAGCTTCGTAGCTTGTTTTCTAAATAGTTCAGATCCTCAGATCCAAAGTTAACTCAATTGAAAGATAAATTATTAAAGTTTTTCTTGGATATTCATACCAGCAAGAACATCTCGTTCTCCATGTTAGTAGAAATTAGGGACTTAATGGGATGGAACGTCCTACAAGCTATTAAGTAAAGACAAGAGAAATATATATATATATATAAAGATTTAGAATTATACGTGTGTAGGTAAAAGGTGATTCGGTTGTTTGATTATTTGGTTTTGGTTGCAGTTGGACGGAGAAGACG